AGGTGCCTTTTTCTTTTTTCTTTTTTTTTTAAAGCTTTTATTTTAAGAAAAAAACTACAATCATTAAGTTAGCCAATGTATGTACAGTTGAAAGAAGTTAAAAATGGATTAAAGAACCAGTCATTAAGATCTTTAGCTGTTCAGCTGATATGTCTACTAGTGTTAACAGGGGAAAGAGCTGCTGTAGATTGGGTACAGTCAAAATTATTGCAAAAGTGTGCAATGATATTTTGAAATGGTTGATTTAAAGAGATGGGCTGGGTCTTCAACCAGCCCCACACAAAGTGACTTTGTTGTCTCAACATGGTAATAAAACAGCAATAAGACTGAGTCAGCTATCAGTTTAGAAGTGAATGGGGTCAAGTTAGCAACTACATACAGTCTGCTTGTGACAACATAACAATTAATACTCATGAATTGAAGAAAAGCGCATATTTGTTGCATATCTCCATACACAGAAATTCAAATTAACTAACTACATTCAGAGTCCAGGATTTTAAACAGATATTCAGAAATTCCTCCAAAAATAGTGACCTTGTTGCTGCAGAATGGCAATTTAACTGCAAGACCAGAACCAGAATACAACCAGCTGGCAGCCAATAGAGTCTAGTCCTACTCTACTGCAAAGAGACGCTTGGCAGATGAGTGTTTTCAGTGCAGTCAGTGAAAAAACGATCATTTGGAGACAGGTTGCCGGTTGATGATCTGTGCAATCACCTTGTGAACAAAAGTGGTTGGCACAACTGCTTTCAATCGGACACCAACAGCAAGAGCATTCGACGGAGTTGCTGCACAACCACTGTCAAGAAGTTGCTAAAAAAAAACTCTACAGTGCTCTATAGTGTGAGACCTGTACCTGCAGGTTAAACATTAAAACTAGTTGGATTTATATGTTTGAGAATTAGAACAGCTTTAGCTTTCAAAAAGCAATACTTTGTGTATAATTTTGGCACTGTAGCTTGTGGAAATGTTTGGCCTTTCCAGTATCATCTCCTCGGTTTTTAATGTAAAATGAATTCAGAGAACAAGTGACCACCGGTGTGTAGGACTGTTTGGTTTTTTATTAACACGGAAAATTGGAAAAGCAGAAGAGAAACAGAAACAAGTCTTTTGCTCTCCACACACACACCTGCAGCGATGGGCTCATAGAAAGCTGAAATAGTAAAAAGCAGGTCCTCTTTCTCTACCTGCATCACTCCTTCCTGTGTCCAAATATGGCAGTGCCACTCAACAGGAACTACACCATCGTCACACTTCTGTAACGGCTGCAGGAAGGATTCCTCTCTGACTGATGCACACAAACACACAGTCTAAGTCTTCAGTTGGAAAGATTCAAAGTGTAAAAATCCTACAGTAGCCGTTTGTAACAAATTACAAACTGTAATTTAGCAAGAAAGAGAAAAAGCGGTGAAGAGAAAGGTACACCGGATGAAAGGAAGGAAGAGAGATAGGATTGAGATTCTGCCGTCTGACTGCATGCCCACCCTCCCCCCACAACGCAGGGGTCGAAAAATGAGAACTCATTTCCCGTAAATGTCTCCTCGTTCTCTCTCTTTCTAACGCAAACCTTGCTGAGGAAATACCGAGGTCGCAGCTGATGACCGTCATGGAAGCTTATCTCCACTGACAAATAAAGTGGAATTTTCTCTGAGGAATCAAATCACCAAAGCTAACAGACTTGGTTTAATTTACCGTATAAAATTCTTTTTTAAAAGCAAACATGGGCCATTGGCAAAGTATCGATCGCCTGTTTTTAGAGGTGAAAGCAATAGATTACAGCTAGCCCAGTTTTTGTAACGAATTCAGGCTATTTTTTGGATGCAAATACTCAGGAAATACAAGTACTTACATTACACTTTGCATGCTTCGTTCTTCCTCTGTCCCCTCAGTGTGCAACAACAACATTCCTGCTTTGACTTTGGTTTTTGAAGAAAGTTGGCATGAAAGTTTCATTTTAAAGCCTCACACCTACGTGCTTTCAGCCTCACCTCTGTGTGTCTGCACCCTCCTGTTTCTCTTCATCTCTTATGCATTCTCTTACAGTTTACAGTCTCACAAACACACTAGGTGTGATTTATAACTGATGACTTGTGTTTGTTATGATTGAGAACTTTTACAGTAGCTCAGCCCTGTTACTGGTTGCTCCTGCATAATGTTATGTAAATCAGTCCTCTCTCGACAAAGTATTCCCAACTGTCTATGTTGTATTTTTGTTATATACTAAATTTTATGATAACGATACCACCATTTCTAGCTCTGTTTTCATACTCTTGGACTCTATTAAAGTAGCTTTGCATCCCATATGGAAAAGATATATATAAATCTTATAAAGTTTGTATCTGTCTTGTATGAAACTTGTATGAAAAGCATACAAGAGTGAAAACAGATATAAGATCCCTTGAAAAATTATATAATGAAACTTGTATGTTTTGTATACTTAATAAAAAAATATATGAAAGTAATGAGAAAGTGGCCACTTTCATGAGTAAATCATGTAAGCCTTATATGATTTATATATGATTTACTCATGAAAGTGGCCACTTTCATGAGTAAATCATATATGTTTTTACTATTTCTTTTCCATATGGGATAATTCACAGTTCATAATAATTCTTAATCATCTTATACTGGAATTTTGGTGAAGTTTTAACCTTTGCGAACAAAAGGTTTAATATCGATCTCTCCTTTTGAATGAGTGCCTCTCATACATGCAATAATCCTTTCTGTCATCGTTGTATTTTTACTCAGTTGTATATAGTATTTGTATTTGTATTCTATTTTTATCTTATTGTATATTTATTTTATTTTATTCTACTGTATATAGTATTTTATTTTATTCTATTCTGTACAGTTGTGTACTGTATTTATTCTTATTGTATTCTAATTTTTGCCTCATAACTTTTGCACTGTCCACTTCCTGCTGTGACAAAACAAATTTCCCACGTGTGGGACTAATAAAGGTTATCTTATCTTATCTTATCTTAATACATTAATAATATATATTGCATCTTGGATTTCTAATTATGTTAGGATATTTATTGGTTATTTAAGTTAAGTTATTTAAGAGGAAGTTTTGTCTTAATGTCATTATGCTTGCATAATGTCGACAAAGAGTCGCAAATCTTGAATTCCTAATCCCGATAGAGCACTGAAGCAAGTTATACTTATTATAGCACAGATTATTTTTTTGTTTTTTTGCACCACCACCTGTGTTTGGAAACCAAATCAAGCTCTGCTGGTAACCTTAAATTAAAACACGTTCCCTTCAAAATCATTTCTGTTGGTCTCACAGATGCTTTCTGTCTGTCCTGAATGAGAACATGTGTTTTGGAAACGTTGTGTACTTGTGTACATTGTAGTTAACTTCAGCTGTGGGGTACTGAACTGCTTTTTGTTTCTTATAGTTTTACGATAATGTTGGTTTGTCAAATGTTCCTATGTCCCCCCTGTTACGAATAAAGTTTCCTTTGGCGTTGGAGCCACAGCTATGGCGGCCGCAGAGCGAGAACAGTTTCATTTCCTGCGAAGCTCGTGTTAGAAGGCTGGAGATATGGTGGGCGCAGATGTCCGTGTCCTGAGGTTGTAGTTTTAGTCAGGATGGTTACTTTCACAAAAAAAACTACTCAGCTAGCCTCAGGAGAAACCTCCCTTTTGAGAAAAATGCACCCAGGTTGTATGTTAAAAATGCTAAGTTGAGAGTGACACACCTGTCTCACTATTGCCATAACCAGGTGCATCAAAAAACATGTGTTTTTGAGGTTTTGTGAATTTTAAAAAACCAAAAACAGATGACTGCATTTTTTGCTTGTTTTGCAATGTTCAACCTCTAGACATCTCAGATGCAAAAATAACTGCTCAGGTCTCCAAGAAGTGAAATTATGAAAATGAAGAACTTGCTCTCCCCAATCTCCTTACAAAACTTACTAACAGAGAAGCAGGTAAAATGCTTTCATACATTAATATATCACTCTTCAAATAATGCCACTCACTGTGGACCTTTCATCTTGAATTAGCATCTATCTGTCAAAAATGTGACTCAGTTTTTTGGAACTTGGAAGTGTTTTTTTTTTCTTGCTGTTTACATCCTGGACACGTATCCACAGCTTCAGTGGGTAAAGTCTGTCATTCACCTTGTGAAATATACCTACTAAAGCTCAGCACGTTCTAAAATAAGACATGACCTAATGTGCCGTGTACTGTCATGGTATTTTGTAACTTGGTTACATCATATCTAGTCTCACTGCTCCTGAGTGCAAACATACGCTCTCTCACATCTTTTCTTTTTGCTTTACTGGAAAAAATATTACATCAGTGCTAATTTTTTTTATTCCTGATTGTTTTATTTATTAATTAAAACATCTTGTTTGTCCAGTATTTACTTGATACTCTTGCCATGCTGGTTTTTTTTTTTGACTGCACGGGGACAAGGAGTGCTAAAAGTGCAATATGTACTACTTTCACTCCCTCATAAATATCGCTCGAAATAAGCCAAGTTAATGTCCGTTTTATTGAAAAGTTGTAAAATTCATCTGTTTCAAATGCAGTGTGAAAAATGTAGATGTTCGCTTTTGACTTTCCGACTTCTAAACAAGATTTTAACTTTTCTCAGTACTTTAGTCTGAAATGTTGCACTTCACTTAGGAAATCTTAAATTTGCTGTTTACACATTTCAGACAGCAGAGAACGCAAGTTCAAATTCCATTAGTTAGATTATTGTGACAACCAGCAGCCAGTAAAGATGGTACAAACCTCACTCTTACTTGCGTGGTTTTGCACACCTGAGACCACCGATGATACTCAAGATCATTCAAAAGAACCACTAAATACCAGATATCTGCCACTTGATAAACACAAAAACCAATTAATGAGATAGTCACTACCTCAAACGAGTCTCAGAGCTGATCACCAAACTCAGGCTGGTGAGGACGTGTTCAGTGAAAAAATAAAGATACCAGAAAAGCTGTGTCAGACCCAGCAGTGAGGATAATGTCTGAACTTACATGATGTCCCTTTGTTCCCGAATACACATCCTGGTGCTTGGTTTGGAGCTCCGTGCAAACGACTTCTTCTTCTTTACCGAAGGAGCAGACATGTCGGCGGACATGACAGCGGCAGTACAGGATAATATACCACCATAATTTTCAACCCACGTGGAGAGACGGATATACGGTTGAATGGACTCAAAGTAGAAAGAATCGAGTCAGATTCAAAATCATAAGAGTTGTTATGGGTGGAAGCATGAAAACAGAATGCAGATGAATGGAACTGGAGAAAGGTGTTAACGAAGAAAGAAAAAACAAAAAATAATGAAAGAAATGGATAGATGAGCAGAGAGAACAATCAGCTGTGTCGATTAGGAAGTCTGTTGATGATCTGAACCCCTGATACTCCACCAAGCGTTTCCTGAGGGGGGCTCCTCCTTTAGCTCTGGCACTTCATTGGCTGACTGCTTTCAGCATGTTCCTTCCTGCTTCCTCAAAGACAGCATGCGATAGGCTGCCGCTTGTAGCCCACACTTCTGCAAACACATAGCTCACACACTTGGACACCCAGCTCCTGTGAAAGAAGCCTGGGGACTTTCCGTCGCACAGGACTGGAACAATTCAGAGGTCAAGCACATGGACGCAGACACACAAATGCATCTGAAAACACACACTGAAACAGAGCCGTTCCTCTGTGAGGTTACAGGTGATACTTTCTAGTGTGTAGTAATTCTAAGAGACCCTAACTTCCTTTTGACTCTTAAAACCGACCTGTGGGCACTTTATAAAAGACTAAGAAGGCCTAAATAAAACAGATAAGCTTAGGCAGAAAGCTTGAAGAACGAGTGTTCTATGAGTGTTGCAGTGCATAAATTTGTCACTGATAATGTCTTTCAACTCAGTTTTAATGATGTAGAATAGCTGTGGCAAACATAAGACCCAGGGGACTAATATTGGGCCGACAGAGACTGGAATCCAGTCTAATAGACGTTTTTTTAAAAAGTGAAGGAGGGCATAAATTTTGATCTTTAAAAATACGGGTCAACAACAACAAAAAGGTTATTCTCTGTGAATTGACTGTGTGCACGTTAGCATATGCTACTTCCAATGCGGAAACTCATGTGGGGAGCTTTGTTTCCGGTGTCCTATTCGCACCCTGTTTACGCTCCAAAACAAGTTAAGCAAATGAATGAATCAAGCGGCGATTTGCATTTCTATAGATGTCTTGGGCATTTACCCAATATATCTGTAAATGATGTTCATCGACTTGTCGATATTTTTCCCCCGCGCCTCAGAGAAAAAGAGAAAAGAGATTCAAATGTTATATTTCTCAGCTGTCCCTCGTTTATCGCAGGTGTTATGTTCTAGAAATAACCAGCGATAGGTGAAATCAAGTAGCCAATTTTATTTTTTGACGAAGCAAAACATTTCGTGGACATACAGTACTGCACTTCAGAGTCACACTGCTAGCGATCGATGCAGCGATTCTGTACTGTACAGGAGAGACGTCACGGAGGAGATCGTCTGCAGCGATCAGGACGCAGGACACAATGTGACGTAAAAAAAAAATAAGCATGCAAACTTGCACTAAAAAATCCGTGAAACAGCGAGGTGAAAGGTGAACCGCGTTATAGCAAAGGACCGCTGTAATTTTTAAGGTAAGTCACAACATACCCTTCGTACATACTAATGTATAGAAACCCTTATCAGCAATCATTCATTTTTTGTGTGGCTTTTTTCACGGTTTGTTAACATGCTGTGTAGGTGTGTACTTGACTAGCTGATCTCGACATAATGGGGGAAACATCTGGTTTGACTATTCTTCACCTGTAGTTTGAATGCTGAACATTTGCCTGTTTAAATCATAAGACCAGTCACTATACAGAGATGTGCTTCTGAATGTGGACGATGTGTCTTCTGCTGCAGTGATGCAGTTCTGCTTGTGTTGAGTGATGTAAACAACTGATCGATCTAAACTCTTTAGACGTCAAAATTGATCATTAGATTTTTTATGACACAACAGTGGCGAGTGTTCCCACTTTCTGCTCTTTGTAACTTAAAGCGATCTTTCAGTTTTCGAGTTTTGGACATGATTTTGGAGTATATGTTCGCAGTAGCGATTGACCGCAAAGTAAAGCTACCGGAAATGTACAACCCCACATCCGGTCTCAAACCAGGAAGTTAGCATTTTCTCGTGCACAGGGTCTCTTAGACTGGGCAACAAGCTACCAGAACTATTTCTTTATTTTACACAGGTATTTCTCCAAGAGTCGTGCTGACAGATCGTTTTTTCTATTTACTGTTGAGTATATATCCATAGTGTTGCAATTGCACTGCAAAATGAGTCTGACATCCCTGATCTAGACCCCAAAATATTATACAGAGACAATAAACCAGTCAATCAGACATGGCTTAGAGTACATCAGCAAAAACTTGGTGATGGTGGGGACGAGATTGCCACTAGAAGCCAATGCGCTACAACCGACTGGGAAGTGAGGGAAAAGATGAGCGGAAAGAGAAGCACAGAGAAACTGACAGTGAAACACAAAATACTGGTGAGAGTGAGAAAAGAGATCTTTGGAGGAAAAAGGCTCAGTGCATCATGGGAAGTCCCCCGAGCAGCCGGAGCTTGTAGCACTGAAGCTACAGGGTGGTTCAGGGTCAGTTGATCCAGCCCTAACTTTTAGTTTGAAGCTTAAAACTAGAGCAGGCATCTCTATCCTAAACCCAGACTTTCTCAGTCTCACTTTGCTTCCTCAATACGTTCTCGTGCTTATTGTGTTCACAAATTTTAAAGACTAACATAAAAACAATAGTCTATATTTTAGTTTAGTTTGAATTTTCTTTATTTTTTTACAAGGCTGGGTTGAGCCTTGTATTTTAGTTCACTAAAATAACTTTTATATCGTAGGCTACAGAAGTCTGGAAAGTTCACCTCTTTTTAAATCCACAAACCTCACCAGACGACAGCTCTCTGACTTCTTTTCCCCCCCCCAACATACCGTGAACACACAGGAAGCACCATGATGTCTAAAACCACCATACTCCTCCTGTACACTACTTGGAAGTGAGTTCATATTGCAAAAAGAACTGAACTATTTAAGTCATTCCTCTAAAAAATGACTAGCCCTGTATCAGTTTCTCTTTAAACATTTTTCCTTTACGTCTCGTATCAGTTGTACATTTCCTAGTTTTGTATTAGCATTTGTGTTTCCACTATCAGCTTTCCCTCCTCTTCTGTCCCCTTTTCTGTCATTACTTCAAGCTGCCACAAGTCACTTACAAGTATATTAGGCTGGGCTCAATCAAGGGTTCAGTGAGTTGTTCTGTAATATATCTGAATACAAAAATGTGAGAAAATAAAAACCCACTAGAGTGTGTCATATCACTTGGGTGAGGTTTGTTGGGTGTTGATTCAGGACCAAACATGAGCCTGTGTACTCTGAAGCATGTTAGTGTATTTGTTACCCACTGCAATTCACACTGGCACAGGAGATTTGCATTATTGATGTGCAGCCGACAAATCTGCAGTAACTGTGTCTGACGCTATCATGTCAGTATGGATCAAACTTTCTGAGGAACGCTTCCAGCAAAGGGAACTCCAACCCTGTACTACTTTGGTATACCTAATAAAGTGTCCTGCAAGTGAATGTATCAGGTTGCACTTTGTGATTAGGTTAGGATGCTCCTTACATGTATCATGGCCATATCTGCCCATCATAGCAGCTGCATCAGTTGCAAATCGAACACGTAGCAAGCAGCTTGTTAGCACGATGTCAAAGTGATAAGCCCCAGAGCAAGACTGTAAATCAACGAGTTAAAGAAGAGGTCACACTATGTTGGGGAATTTTTGTCTTTTTTTATGAGGATGCTATAAAATATGATCTTAATCTATTCCTCTACCAGACACTGAAATAGGTTTGCTATCAAAGCTGTCATACACCCTAAAAAGAGGAAGCTAAAAATAATGCCACTCCTTGTGTAATGTCTGTACTATTGTCAAGTTCCCACCCCAAAAAGGGGCGGCTAAGGTTATGCGGTCATCATATCAGTTAGTCTGAAGTCTCAGATGATCAACTGTTTATGCACACAGATGATGAGGCCATCTGCTGACAGAAAAAAAACAAAAAAACCCACTCCTTTTCACACAAGTTGGATCACAGCTAGTAAAACAATTTGCATGTTTTTATATTTTATATATATATATATATGCTTCAGAACTTCCTTTTTCCCTGTAAGTCTAATCCAGAGACAGTTGTTAGTACATGCGGGGGTATAAATGAGCAAGAAATTGTTTATGTATACCCAGATCATCTAAAGTGTGAACATATTTGGTACAAAACAGCTTTCATGTTGCTGCTGAAGTTTAACCAAGGGGACTGTACTGTACAGTCGTGTGCTGGTTGGCAGCTTTGAGGTGTGATGTCTGCACCACTTCTTTGAACGTAACGTTAGAAAAGGCCTTCTGTGAAATGGACACTTAAGGTGCTACTTAATGCTGAAAGTGCCATTTCAGGTGTAAAAACATGTATTTCCTTGTATTTGTGTAATCTGCATAGCTCTCCTCCTCAATGAACAGAGTGGACAAATTGCAGTGACAGTGCTGTTGCTTTATAGTGAAAAACAAAATATTAAACTTGAAACAAAAGGACGAATTACACTGAATATGAAAGTATGTACACCAAACCTCTTAATCTTTGAATTCAGGTGTTTTCAGTCTCATTGCCACAGCAATCCAGCATCTAGCCATTCAGTCGGCCTATACAAACATTAGTGACAGGCCATGTAAAATTACAGAGCAGGGCCTCTTAAATGTGTAAATGTCACCAACGCTCTGCTGACCCAGTAACTGCTTTGAGCTTTAAGCCTCCCTGAGATTAAAATCAGCACAAAAACTGTGCACTGGGACCTTTATGGTCTGGGTTTCAATGGCTGAGCACTCTTGTATCACGTGATATTAACATTTCCATGTCAATATCACAAATAACATCTGAAATTTTTTGTTATTGTTCCTTTTTTTTTCTTCTGGCAATGTATCTCAAGCAGTGAAAATCGAATATCTGCTGATGTTGGTTTCCAACCTTGTTACCGTGTTTGTCTAGACAAAAAAATACACAGTGTATATCAATAAAGATTTTCAACTCAAAGAGGATCAGCAAGATCTGATGTATGATGTAAGTGTTCCTTATTCTGTTCCTTCCTAATATGTCAATAAAGCCTCAGCTAATTTAGTTTGTACCTCTGGTTAAGTGCAGCTGCTATTTTCAGATCTCTTCCTAAAAGTTCTTTTCATACCACTTATGCTGACCGTGTTGTGATTTTGCCACAGACCACAATTCATGTTTTATACTGACACCAACGTTTTATACAT